ACATCACTTGGCCCAGGACGACTGGAATTTTATTCCTCTAGGTGTTTGGTTTCTGCTTCCCTTTGTCCCCATCCTTTAGTGAAGGTGTTCAGGTATTCACAGTCAGTGGTTATAAAAATGTTTATCATTGGGCCCTGCGCGGTGGCGCAGTGGTTAAGGTCCTCGCCTTGCACGCCCCCGGGATCCCATATGGGCGCCGGTTCTAATCCCGGCAGCCCCGCTTCCCTTCCAGCTCCCTGCCTGTGGCCTGGGAAAGCAGTCCAGGACGGCTCAAAGCTTTGGGACCGTGCACCCGCTTGGGAGACCCGGAAGAGGCTCCTGGTTTCGGATCGGCATAGTATCGGCCGTTGCGCTCACTTGGGGAGTGAATCATCGGACGGAAGATCTTCCTCTCTGTCTCTCCTCTCTGTATATCCGCCTTTCCAATAAAAACATAATAAAAATAGATCTTTAAAAAATGTTTATCATTGCCATGAAAAATTCCAGACTCTGCATCATTCACGTGTCTCTCGGGTGCAGTCCTTTGGGGCCACTCTCACCGGTGTAAGCAGCTGTGCAACAGCCTGGGTTACATGTCCTCTGTTCCTGGCAGAGCCAAGGGAAACCAAGGGTTGGTTTGCCATTTGGCACCAAGACTGGTCCACCTGAAAAGCCTCTTCCCAGACCTCCAGAGGTCTAGAGGTGCAAAGCGCAAGTACCACTTTGAGGCTGTTAGAATCTTCCAGGCATTAGCAGTGAGAAACAGAATTGTTCAGAGGGGAATTGAAATTTCCAGCAATAACATTGTCAGTGGGATCATATAGTATGTGAGTTTTAGCCGTTAGAAACTTTGGATTTGAGTGAAATGCAACTGTGGGCCTTGGAATTTTTTCAAAGCACCTCCATTTCTTTAAAACTAGGAACAACATTCCCTCGTAAAAACATAATAGGGTTTTGAGGATAAAATTGACTAGCATGTGAAAATGAGTTACAAAGTTTAATAGCTTACACTAATCTAAAGCATAAGTGTTATAAAGAGGGTGTATATTTTATGGCAAAGGAGAGATTAATTATGACATTTTTAGTCATAATGTGCATGACAGGAAGTAGAGTTGGAGTCAGGAACATTGACTTATTAATGGAAGGAGAGAGGGAACTTGATATTTTCCTCCATCTCCCAGGGATAAATGACTTTCATTTAAAAAGTAAAGAAGTTTGTTGGATTTGTTTAGGCTTATTTTACAGTTTAAATTTTTAATCTGAAAGGTGTTGAGATAATGCCTTATTTTTCATTGTTACAAAGTAACTAGGAACTTAAAAAATATATATATATTTTTTATTGAAGAGTCAGATTTACACAGAGAAGGAGAGACAGAGAGAAAGAGCTTCCATCCACTGGCTCACTCCCCAAGTGGCCACAACAGCTGGAACTGAGCCAGTCCAAAGCCAGGAGCCAGAAACTGCTTCTGGGTCTCCCATGTGGGTGCAGGGTCCCAAGACCGTCATTGACTGCTTTGCCAGGCCACAAGCAGGAAACTGGAAGGGAAATGGAATAGCTGGGACATGAAGCTTCACACATACAGGACCTTAGTGCATGCAAGCTGAGGGTTTAGCCAGCAGGGTGCTGTGCTGGGCCCTAAGAACTCTTAAAAATACTGATTTAGCCACTGGAGAGTAATTTGTACTTGTTCAGTTTGGACTGTGAGACCCCTTGAGAGGGTCCAGGATGAAGGAAGATTTCAGATTTTTGTCATGTATTTTGGACGAAACTTACAAGGATTGCGTTTTCCCCTCCGAATGGCAAAATGACCCAAGCCAAAAATCTAAATATTGAATAACAACTATGTATATTCGTTTAAACCTGATTTTTTTTAAAGCCTGGTATATGTACATTTTTTTCAGGTGTACTTTGAGCCCCCTCTAGTGGTAGGTTTGGAAAATTGATCCAAAACTTGTTTTGGAGAAGTAATTTCTTTGAATAAAAACAGGGTTTTGAACATCTAAATCTCAGTTTAAGAAATATGTTTTTATTTGAGAAGCAGGGAGAAAGATGGAGGAAGGTGGGAAGAGAATGAGGGAAAGGGGGGGAGAGAGAGAGAGAGAGAGAGAGAGAAATAACTCCTACACACTGGTTCATTCCTCAGATGAGCACAATAGACAGGACTGGCCAGGTCAAAGTCAAGAAGCAGACATTCCACCTGGGACTTTGTGTTGTGTGTAAGGGACCATTTACTGGAGTCATCACGACTGCTTCCCAGCATTGGTGTCAGCCAGAAACCTGAGTTAGGAGCGTGGTAACAAACTCAGGCATGCTGGCAGGGTGTGAAAGCTTCTTAACAGATGTGTTTCTTAACCACTAGTCCCAAAGCCCACCCCTTCCAGTTCCTTGCACATTGCTTCATACATTATTGCAATTTATAGCAAGCACACTATGCTGTGGAACCAGGACCTGTGACTTGCATCTAACTGCCCTTTGGTACCCTTTATCTCAACCTCTCCCTCCTCTTTCCCCTTTCAAGCCTCTGATAATCACGATTCTAAGTCATATTGACTTTCTCTAAGTAATAGGGATTTTCAGTGGGTGGTAGTTTAAGCATAGATAATCAAAACTCTTTACTTATTGACACTTGACTCTTCAAATAATGAAAAGGGATGTGAAAGGCGCTGGTAACATCTGGGAGGGAGAGAAATTTTAAGACAAAGATGCTGCTTCTCTTGGCTTCTCACATTTTATGCTGTACTGCAGCTTGCATGTAAGATGGGTGAAGACCTTCATTGTTTAGGTCTTAGAGTTATTTTCATCAGCTGACAGGGCAGTGGCCCTGGGTGATAAGAGCAGTAGAGAAGGCATTTGCCAGGGGTCCTGAAATCTGCAGAGCCTAGGACGGATTTTTCACTAACAGCAGTTTCCCAAAGCATTGGTGTCCAATGAGAGAACATGGGAGACATCTAGAATAGCCTGAATCCTCCTTAGGATAATCCCAAGGAGACAAAACAGGCTGTATTGCCAACCACAGGCTCTGACACACTGGATGTATATAGTGGGTGCTTATTTGGAGGCTACCAGCATAATACCTCTACCACTGCTGCATGCATTCAAATAAGCTAGATTGTGTTGGATAATAACTGTGGCATCTTGTGGCTTATTACCACAGGAGCTTGATTTCTTGGTTCACACCCTGTATCCACCATTGGTTGGCTGAAGCTCATTCCTCAAATGGCTACAATAGCCAGAGCTAGTTAAGGCTGAAGCCAGCTTCTTCCAGATCTCCCATGTGGGTGCAGGGACTCAATCACTTCTGATACATTCCCAGGTGCATTAGCAGGGAGCTGGATTGGAGCAACTGGAACTTGAACTGGCATCCATAAGGGATGCCAGTGCCTTAGGCTAGGGGCTTTACCGGTTATGCCACAGCACCAACCCCGGACACTCCTTGTTAATAAATATGAAACCTCCATCCATCAAAAGTCTATATCTTTATCAGCTGTCCCAGACATTCTCAAGCTGAAAAAAGTTAGGAGGAAATGATGTTTGCTAACCAGGAGATATCCTTGTAGGTAGGTAGGGTCAGGGCAAACGGCGCTTTGCTGTAAGGCTTCTTTGCCACCAGGCTTCATTACCTGTTAAGACCCAAAACAAAACAGGTGAGTCTGGAGGCTGTCTTTCCAATCTGTTTTTGGTCAAATTTATAGGTAGGAAAAATGTGTTATTTTGATGTCTCAGCTTCAAAAAGGTACCTATTGGCTGCTGTTTGTATTGATTTCCTAAAGAGTTTATAAGGCACATACAATTACTTTTGGTTTTTTGATTACTGGTGCAATCTAGCCCATTTTTTCCCCCTTACACATGGAGTGTGGCTAGGGACTGTGACTAGGTGTGAATAGCTTCTCTGGTTTCTAATTTGCGTCCCTAACCTCTTTCTTTCAAAGGAAGAGTCTTTCTTAAGTAAATATACTTCTTTAAAAAAAAAATTATTTGAAAGACAAAGTGACACACACAGAGGGAGAGAGGAAAGAGATTTTTCTATTCATTGATTTACTTCTCAAATGACTCCAATGGCTGGAGCTGGGCCAGGCTATAGTTAGGATCCAGGAACTCCATCTGGGTGTGCATCATGGGTGGCAGGGACCCAAGCATTTGGGTCATATTCATCTGCCTTCCTGGGCTCATTAGCAGGGAACTGGACTGGAAGTGGAGCATCTGGGACTCAAACCAGCACTCCCATATGGGATACTGGTGGCACAGGCAGTGGCCTAATGTACTGTGCCACAATATTTGTCCCTGGATTTTATTTTATTATTATTATTTTTTGGTATTGTTTTTCCCCCATTCATTTAATCCTAAGATTTTTAGCTTGGTTTCTTTCCTGGTCCAGGATTCTAGGATTTACTCTGCCTAGAAGCATTCTTCCAAGTGTTTTGGATTGGATACTTTAAAGGCAGTCCCTTCCTTGTTTTGGGCTTTCCCACACTCACCTGTGCTCCAGCTGTCGCGTTCCCTCTCTAGAAGGGGTTTTTCTTCCTGCTTGTAGGAGTAGGCTGAGACATCCTCAGAACCAGATGTGTTGGGAGGTAACATCTGGGAAAGACACCTTTGATTCACCCAGCTCATCTGGAACAGGAATGTGTGGGGATTTTTAACTCTGATGGGTACGCAGGTTCATAGAATCTCTAGAAGCGGAGGTGGGCATAGGAGGCTGTAGTCAATCTCCATGGTGATGGCCAAAGGGAGCTTGTTAACAGAGTGTGCTGGCACGATGAGATGCAAGAGCAGGTGTCATCAACCATGTAACGGGTTTATTGCTTAGCCTCATTTTAGGAGTGCCACTGTCCTTTGTGTTCTTCAAAGTACTTCATTTTTTTTTTTTCCCTGTGAAGGAGTAAATGAAATGTGGGAAGAGAGATGAGGAGGACTTACTTTCCAAGAAATTCTTATTTGTGGATTCTTAAGAAAAGGAGAAAGACCATTCTTACTAAGAGAAGTGTGTGTTTATTTTTTGAATGAATGGATAGATTTTAAGAAGAGTTACAAGTGCTATTTATTGTATTGATGTAGCTAGGGAATAAAAATTATGGAATAACCAGAAAGTGAATTTCAGGGGTCAAGTGAATGTTTTGTGATTTATAAGTTGGGAGTAGGTAAACCACACACTTTGATTCATTTGGATGGTTTCGCTACAACTGAGTGGTGGAGGTAGGAAGATTGACTGCAGACAGAAGAACCGAAAAGGGGGCCACATGAAAGGTTTAAATGTTCAGAGAACGGGTTAGAAAGTACTCCAGATACATTGATTTTATTGGAGACAGATGAACCGCTTGTTCACAGTTCCATGTGGACTAGGAGAGGAGACAAAAGAAGTGTTAGAGCTGTGACTCCTTAGGTGCGGGTCACGTGAACAAACTGTATCTCTAGAGTGTTTAATGATGTTTATATTTTTTCATTAGCTGGGGAAAGAAAACAGGGACAAGGCCATGAATTCTCAAAATGCTGCATTAGGAGAAATCCTCTCCCTCTCTCTCTCTCTTTTTCTCTTTTTTTCTCACTCTCTCCTACTCTCTCTTCCTCCCTCTCTCCCTGTCTCTGTCCCTTTTGGTTGGATCAGTCAAAATGTTGCCCAGAGAAGAAATAACCGAGGAAGTAAGGAGGCTTATGGGGCCGGGGTGGGGGGTAAGGAGAGAGAGAGAGAGAGAGAGAGAGAGAGAGAGAGAGATTGATTCCATTGCTGGTTCATTCCCCAAACAACACAATCATCAAGTCTAGGCCAGGCTGAAGCCAGAAGGCAGGAACTCCAAGTGATTCCCCCACATATGTGGCAGGGACACAAGCATTTGGTCCATCATTTGCTGCCTTCCCAAGTGTATTTGCAGGGGTGCTTAATCAGAAGCAAAGCAGCCAGTGTTCAAACCTGCACTGCTATGGGATGCTGGTGTCCCAAACATCAAAGTAACCTTCTGCATCACACACTAGGCCTATCATGATGTATAAAGAACGCTGGCCATATTGGTTGGTCAGGCAGAGTCTTTAACCAAACTCATCAGCAGATATAATTGGGAAAAGGAAAACTAATTAGGAGATAAGAGTGTGAATGACTAAAGGATACATGCTGTATGGATATTCTTAAATGTTGTAGAGGGCAAGCCCCAGATATGATTTCAGCTTAGCCTAGAAAAAACTAGATAAGGAGATGTTATATTATCTAACTCATAAAATTGTTTGCAAGAACCTTGAGAAAGGCAGGAACTAAGCTTACTAAAGCTTATTGAACTAAGCAAAAGGGACCATCTCCCTTATTGTTATGGAGGACAACCATGCTCAGAGTAGACTTCTTGCCTTAGGTTCTGATGGTGGTTGTGTCAAGAGAATTAAGGACCATGTCTGTGGGTTTTTAAGGCTGTTACTCCTGAACTGTGCCTTTGGGACCTTAATTGAACATTTCAGGATCTGAGCAGAGCTTCACTTCAGATATGTGAGGGGAAGGTGCAATGGGGTGGAAGGGCTCACCTGTGAAGGAGCTGTGTAAACCCAGCAGGTGGAACCCAGGGAAGAAGAGCTGTCTGTCTCATTCCTCATCTGACTCAACTTGACCTGCTTGCCCTCCCCTCCTCTTCCTTCCTGTCTTGTTTCATTCCTTCTAGTTTCTTTCCCTTTGCACATTAGCTTCAGAGCTTAAAGCCCCTGAGCCTCCATCTCCCCTCAGTAAATGATAAATTCTGTCTCCTAAGATTTTGGTAAGTTTACTTGAAAGTCCAGACGTTCAGTCCATATTGTCATATAGTGGATTAAGCCACTGCCTGCTATGCTGACAGCCCTTTTGAATGCTAGTTTGCATTCTCACTACTGCCCTTCTGATGCAGCTCTCTGCTAATGAACCTGGGAAAGCAATAGGAGATGGCCCAACTATTTGGGCGTATGCTACCAGTGTAGGAGACATGGATGGAGTTTCTGGCTCCTAGCTTCAGCCTGGCCAAACCCATTTGAAGAATAAATCAGTGGATGGAAGATCTCTCTCTCTCTATTTTTCCATCTCTCTCTCTCTCTGTCTCTCTCTGCAGGCTGTAATTCTTTCAAATAAGCAAATTAATATTTGAAGAAAAACCCCACAAGCCTTGATCTTATCCAGAACTCCTTTACCTTTCTGATATGCTGTTCTCATGGAAGGTGTGGTGAAAGCAGAGGCAGAGGTCCAGACATGTCCTTTCAAATCAACAAATTCAGGATGTTGTATGTAGACTGAATCTGAAAGAATAGAAAGAAATGTTGAATGAAGGGACTAGAAAGTAGTCCATGATGGTTGTTAAGCCAGTAAGGAGGTCTGGTTTGGAGAAGTGAATTATGAATACAAGAATTAGAGATGCAGAAACAAAAGCAAGAAAATCTTGCTGATTGAATTTCTAAGCTGAGGCTGCTATAGGTGGCTTGCCTTTATGTTCCTTATTTTACATCAGTTACTATTATGTAATAAGCTACCATAAAATTTAGTCACTGGAGGTGTTAATAACAGATAATTCCTCTCCAGGAAGGAGTCCTTGTACTTGTCAATCCTGGTTGGGCTGCCTTAAGTGTTGCCAAGCAGTTTGGAAATGCATCTAGGCTGGTTGATCCAGAATTACTTTGGCTAGCAACTCAACTTGCTTCTACAAGCTATCTTTCACGTACTTCTAGCTGGTTAGCCTGGGCATTTTCCTATGGCGGTAGAAATTGTGTAAGAGGGAAGGCTAACACATGAAAGCACCTTTTCAAGTCTCTGCTTGTATCAAGTTTCCTAATGTCTCAGTGGCCAAACCAAGTCACATGAGCACGCTAAGATTCAGTTGGAAGAGGGGGCAGACACTACCATGTGTCATAGCTGTAAGTACATATAAATACTAAAGCTGTGAATGCAATGCATCTACAAATCTCATCATCATATGAGGTCTGTGCTCCAATAACTCCATTGAACTTGCGCTCTGATTTCCAGGACCGATAGGCTATTTTTTTTGTGTCTCTGATGTCTTCACAACATTTGTCACCATAAAACATTCCACCTTTTTAATATGATTTTTATTCTTATATTTCTGACTGTGCTCGTACATTCTCAGAGTACTTCATGTGGCTTCTTTCCTTCTTCCTGTAGCTCTAATTTTGGCTTTTCAGAGGTAAGGATTTTAGAAAATCTATGTATAAGAGCAATTGATAAATAGGACACATAGATGAGACAAAGATCGAGGTAAAGACCCAACTTTTTCACTGATTAAAAATAAAACTACCAAATACCAGGGTCTTCATAATGGAATACTAAATGTTTAGCCTTTGGTTTTACTTCCTTTCCTGGTCACAGATTCAGACATTGGGGAGCAGGAAGAAGCTGACTTTGAGAGAGGAAGGGGCTACATGCTCAGTTCTTGCTCTGAAACTTTCGCTGTGTGATACAAGATATGACAAAAACAGACCGTGAACACCGTTTAAGTGATTCCTCTACGTGCAAGTTTGCTGTAAGACATCTCTATGGGTGTAAGAAGATTCTGGATGTCTTTTCCACCCAAATTAAGGAGAGTGGTGAAACAGTTCTCCCCAAATTTCACAGTTCCACCAGTGATCTTGTATTTTATTTTCATCTCTCACATTTCCATTTGCATCAGAATGACTCAGCTACCTACATGCGTTCTCTTTTTTTTCTAGAACAGACTTCTCTCTAAAGGTCTAAATCAAATTGTTCAGGACTACTGGACATCTCCTTTGGATGTTGAATAGTGCCCATTAATTTAATTCATCCTAAATGGAAATGATCATTTATCTGTTCATTTGGTCAATGAACATTATTCCAGAAATTTCCAATTTGAATCTATGCACTTTGTTCTTAACCTCTGGATTTTCACATCCAGTGATTCAAATGAAAAAGTCCTTCACAGTTCTCTCCAGTCATGACTCTGCCGTCCAATTGTATGCATTCAATCGTATCAATCTCTCTTCTCTGATTTCCCTTATTCCACACAACCACTACCACTTCTGACTCTTGAAAACTCTCAGATTTCTACGCAAGCCTCTTACATACACTACCATACACTACCTTTTTTGTTTGTTTGTTTTATTTCTTTCTCTTTTGGAAACTTACATACCATACAGGAATATGGTATGTGAATGATTGGTACAATGTTTTTTTGTATGTGTAAAAAGAAAGGGGGCTTTGGAGCAGAATTGGTTCTGCCACTTAGTTTTATGTCTTTGGAAAGACACTTAACTCTCTGAGTTCTGAGTTGTAAAAAAATCTGTACATTGAAGATAATGTTCACCTTGTGTGATTCGCATAAAGAAGAAATGATTGACTACTATATGCTGAAGTGTAGTGTCTGCTCTGTCATCCTAATGGGGAATGCTAAATTGTAGACTGAGTGTTGTGCTAACTGCTTAAGGTGCATTAGCTCATTTACTTTTGTTTACCTTAGAGTAAATTTTATTACTCCCATTTTCTAGATGATAAAATGAGACAAAATTTGTGTAGAGCCATAAGACAAGTGAAGTGGATGGGAATTAAAGCCCAGTCAGCTGGCCTTCAAAACACCTGCTCTTAATCATATGACTACACCACCTGGAGAGGTAGAATGGGAAAGAGAGTATTCTCAAATGTAGCATTGATTCTTCGGTGCTACATAAACTTGGGTGAGTTAAAGTCTTTGAGCATCAGTTATCTGTAAAATAAGATTAAATATATCTGTTTGTGATATGGTAGTGAAAATTTAATAAAGGACACCTATTATTGTTTTTATTTCTAAATCCCTTAGCCATTCTGTTTAAAAATTTATTGTTGGGTCAGGCTAATCCTGTGGGTTCTGGTTTATGTCCCAGCGGTTTCACTTTTGATCCAGCTCTCTGCTAATGGCCTAGAAAGCAGCAGCGATGGCCTATGTGTTTGGGCCCTTGCATCTACATGGGATACCTGGAAAGTACTTGGCCTCCCAGCCACATACTAGCTCAGCTCTGGCTTTGCAGTCATTTGGGGATTAACCAAAAGATAACAGATCTCTCTCTGCTTATCTCTCCTTCTTTCTGTAATTCTGACTCTCAAGTAAAAAATAAATAAGCCTTTTAAAAAATTCCATTGTAGTCTCTGTGTCTCTTGCAGGCCAACTTTTGAATACCCACTCCTTCCCCTTCTACCTTGTGTAGTTACTTTTGTCTTCTCCAAGGTACACTGCTAATCTCACAACTTTATGCTTTTGTAAATTTTTCTTTCTTGTTCTGGAAAACTACCTCTTCTATTGTTCACACATCAACATTTGTCTTCTGTTTAATTCTTGTGCTTTAATATTGAATTCCCCACCCCATCCTTTGTTTCAACATTTCTAGTTCCGTCCATCATAGTTGGGTGTTGTTCTGTAAGTGTGCATATGTCCATCTATTCTCACACTGCTGTTGTTTACTAGTTGTTTTTCCTCACTAAGTTGTTACCAGAGGATAAAAAATGTTTTTTTTTTTTCTGATATATCAAGACTTAGCTATTTATGCCCTCATTGGATGCCTGATGTATTAGAATTAAATGCAATCTAGCTAGAGATACAGTCTGGTTCTTAGTGCTGATTAATAATTTTTTTATATTTTAATTTCTGTAGATGATAATATTTATTATGGAATATGTTCTACTTTAGTAATATTTGTTTTATTATTTATGAATTGTAGCGTTAGTTGGTATTTGTGGCACAGCACTCTGTTACTTTTTGTTCACTCATACACATTTCAGAACAACAGCAGCAGGTTTTAAGGCGATTCTCTGATACAATCTATCTTTTTGCTTTCAACAAAAAGTAGTCATATTCTGCAGACTACTTACTTTCCTCATTGTGGAAACAAAGTGAAAGTCTCTAGTTACTCAGATTTTTTTTTAAAGCATACATTAGAACCACTTTGTCAAGTGTTAACTGACCTTAAGTGTAGGCTTTTCCACTAAATGAAACCAAAAAGAAATCAGCAAGGATTCTGCAAAGAAAGAAATAAACATGACAATCAACACAAAGAAGATTGGAAATCCTTTTTAGAAACCTACAGCTTGCTCATTTAACAATGTCTTCTCTTTAGAAAAAGATTCCATGTGGGGGGCCCCTGCTGGTGAGAGAGTGAAAGAGGGAAAGAATGACAGGGACACAATTTGAGTGTTTTGACAGCTTAGTCAAAGGAATGAATTGCCATGGGCATGTGCACATTGTAACCCCTGCTGCAATGGTTACAAGTCTTTCTGGAATTCCGTCTAAATCCCAGAATGAGGTCTTTAGAAAACTGAAAGTTGCATGCCTGACACAAAAAAAATAACATTTAAATAACATGGGGAAAAAATCAGTTCAGCAAGGAATTGAAGATACTCAAATATTTGATAGATGGGCAGAAATTTTCTGACTTTGATTTTTTCATTTAGGCACAAATTTGGGTGTTATAGTGCTTGGATATTATTCTCCTGGGCTCCATATTTAAAGCTTCAGGAACATGTTTTCTTTCTGACGGGGGCGAATTGGTTTAACAGCGAGGGATATGATACGGTAGGCTAAAGCTTAGTCCCAAAGTCTATGGAGCTAGCTCTTTGTAGTCTGTAGATGTTTCTGGTCATTTCTTTTGTCCAAATGATGGTTGCTGGAGAAGGCAAATCAGTTAACAATAAATTTCTCATTGTTGGAATAAGACATGGTCGTTGGGGATGTCAGGAGCTGTTACTGTCTTTGTCTCTTCCCCCACCTCCATTCATCCCATGAACCGCAAATCCACAAAAGCAGAGCATTTAACTCAAAGGAGACTATGGCATGTAAAGGGAAGAATGTGGTGTGTGGGGTATTGACATAAAAGAACACTTAGATTCTACAAAGAAAATTTGCGTTGTTGGACTAACTGAAGTGAAATCCAGTTTCGAGCAGCATTGAGAAAAATGAACTTGCTGTTCATAATCCCCTACTATGTTAGGCATAGGGGGCTACACACACACACACACACACACACACACACACACACACACCCTACATGCTCTGTCCCCCTACAACTAAAGTAGGCAGATATGTTTATTTCAGCAAATAAAATGTCTTATATGTTAGTATGTTTTAGTGATTAAGCAACATCAACATTAATTCATGTAAAATATGCCCTTTTTTGAAATATGCTTTGAAATACTTAATGGTATTATGAAATAAAATCTAAAATTCTCATAGAAGTTTGATTTCTAATAAATAGCAGTATTTCTATCTCTATGTCTTCTTTTTCAATCCTGTTCTTCTTTCCTGTGCTTTTTCTTTTAGAATTACTAACACAACATGATTTACTTCTACTTGACTTTAAAATAACGAAGGGAAATAACTCTAAATGCCAAGAACTTAGAGGAATCAAGCAACCCGGAGCTGAACAAAACGTACTTAGCTTTGCTTGTCAGATTAGTTTCTAACAGATGGCTTAATGGGGTTAATTTGAATTTCTTGCTTTCTTAAAATTGTAAGACAACAGCAATCTTAGGCACCTGTTTCTAGCAATTCACACCATAAAATCTCTTTATCCATTGTTGTAGACTAAATGTTTGCTCAGCAAAGAACAAGTAAATCTCCTTAAGTATTGAGCTAGCTGCTGGGGAGAGTCTTCTGGACCAGTTTGTTATGTGTCACAGCTAGGGTCAACATATCAACCTTTTTTAGTAAGTCTTTTAGTAAGTTTTATGAAAATATTTGTTTACTTGAAAAACCAATGCAGAGAGAGATCATCTGTTTTGATGATATTCTGTCTAAATGGCCATAATAACTGGGGTTGGGCATGACTAAAGCCAGGTCAGAAACTCCATGTGGGTCTCCCACAGGGGTAAATGGGACACAACTATTGGACCCATTATTTGCTGCCTATCAGGAGCATATTAACAGGAAGCTGAACAGGAAGCACAGCCAGGATTTGAACTCTAGCAGTCTGATATTGGATGTGGGTGTCCCCAGTAGCAGCTTAATCACTGTGCACAACACCTACTCCTTACAACTCCATGTAACTATTTGTATAATAATAAAAAGAATTAGAAGCCTTTTCCTAGAGTAGGGCTTTTTTTATATGTGAAGTAACTAACACTCAATTCTTAGTTTTGGACAATTATGGATCTTCTGGTTGGGAAGTTAGAATGAAAAAGAACAAGATACAGGAAGAGGGAGGGATAAGGGAAAACAAGGGAAAACATAGTTATATATACATTAAATGAAATGGGAAGAAGGCAAAGAAAGTTCATTTAATGTATATATAACTAAAATAGTTAGCTCTGGAGAAAATGAATGGGTTAAAAATAAGGAAATGGGTAAGTATAAAATAAAAACTTATTTTAGTTAAATTGGCATAATTTCAAGAATGGAAAAAAGTTAAATTCTCCTGGAACATGCTAATGTTGGAATATCCATTCAAACCTGTCACATTTTAAAGCAAAATCTTGCAACACAAAAATATTCTGATAAATATTCTGATACCTTGGGCCTGGCATGATAGTGTAGTGGTTAAGCGCCAGTTAACCCATATGGGTGCCAGTTCTAATCCCAGCAGCCCTGCTTCCCATCCAGCTCCCTGCCTGTGGCCTGGGAAAGCAGTCAAGGATGGCCCAAAGCTTTGGAACCCTGCATCTGCGTGGGAGACCTGGAATAAGCTCCTAGCTCCTGGCTTCAGACAGGCACAGCTCCAGCTGTTGCGACTGCTTGGGCAGTGAACCATCGGACAGATCTGCCTCTCTGTCTCTCCTCCTCTCTGTATATCTGCCTTTCCAATAAAAACAAATAAATCTTAAAAAAATTCTGATATCTTTATTTTGTCTGCTAACGTAATTCTCTGGTACAGGAAATTCCAAATGACATCACCTTCATGTTTCAATAACAAGCCTAATTAAAATTATTTTAGAATAAAAGTGGGGTGTATATTCATTTAGAAGCAGATGTCTTATTAAATATAATTTCCTCTGTTGGCTGCTTTATATTAAGGGCAGATTTAAAAATAAGAATTGCTTCTGTGAAATGTAATTAGATCCTGTTTTATGACTTCCATGGTCAGGGGAAATGGAATAGGAAAGTAATTGACAAACATCTGCAAAACAGTTTTTATTTCTTAAATAGTTGCTTAAGTCTTAGATCAGCTACCAGTTTTTCTCTGTATTTTAGAACCTTGTATTGTCCAGATTATGTTGGGTTGATTGATTCAGCCATTCAGTTTCCTGCTGTGGCTTTTACAAAGTCCGTTCATAGCTCCATCGGAAGCCGAGCAATCAAAGACTTCTTTGGTGGATGATTTACATTTTTGAAATAATTTTCTTTGCTTCTCAGGCCATCTAAAGTGGATGCAGTGACATAAAAGAAGCAGAAGCTACATCTGGTGTTTGGGAGTTAGAGTTCTTTCATGTGCACATTTTGTTGTAAGAGCAGCTTCATTCTCTTATTGATGGTTTTGATACTGTTTTTCCACCGCTTTTAGAAAATATGGAAGCAAGTATGTCACAGTGAGAGGTATGCACTTTGCCTTTTCTGCCACCTATGTTTAATGACATAGTTAGAAAGTCCTGGAAATCAGAGATTGGCTAGCTTAAAAATATATATTTGTTATATATTATATATATGTTTTCCATGATACAGTTATATGTATATGTTATATATAATATATGTTATTTTCCATGATACAGTATAATAGGTATAAGGTTTTTGTCACTCCCCTTTCTTTCTCTCTATTCTTTACCCCCCGACTGTTTCCTTCATAGTATTACAATAGTATAGTCCTTCAGCAACAGCGAAAAGCCCAACATTCTGCTATTTAACTGTATCATGGCATTGTAAGTCTAGGCAATGGTAGAAATTCTGGTATCCTATTATGAAGTTATATTTAACAGTTTTATTTAGAGTCCTCCTTTTATTTGGGAGTAGAGATGAAAACTGCAATGTATCTTCAAATCCCAGTATGTTAGTCCCCATTATGCAATCCATCTATGAGAATATATGTACATACTTGTTTACTTACATACGTATATTTAAGGTTCTTTTCTTTTTTAAAAAAATGGGATTGTATTTAAAACTTCTTTCTCAGTCATGGATTTGTTTGTGTATACTAGTGCCATCGGTTCATGTTCGTTGATTTTGTACCCTGTTACCCTGCCAAACTCCCTGATGAGTTCTAATATTCCCTTTATTGAGCTTTTGGTTCTTCCATGTATATAATCATGTCAACTGTGAACAGGGTTAATTTTAATTCCTTATTTCCAATTTGAATTCCATGAATTTATCTTCCTTGCCTAATAGCTCTAGTGAGGACTTCTAATACTATGTTGAACAGCAGTGGTGAAAGTAGACAACCTTGTCTAGTTCCAGATATTAATGAAAAAGCTTCTGGTCTTTCCTTATTCAACATAATCCTTGCATTGGGTTTTTGTATATTACTTTGGTTGTGTTGTAGAATGTTCCTTCTGTGAGGGTTTTTAGCTGAAGTCATGATGGATTTTATCAAATGCCTTCTCTGTATCTATGAGGTGATCATATTTTCTTGGTGAGGTGTATTATTTTTTTATTTGAATATGTTAAGCGATCCCTGTCCAGGTGAATGACCTGTCTGATGTGTTGTTGGATTCTGTTGCTAGTATTTTGTTGAGGATTTTTACATTTATGTTCATTAGGGATATTGGTCTGTAGTTCTCTTTCTCTGTTGTGTTTCTGTATCGCTTTGGTACTAAGGTGATGTTGGCTTCACGGGATGAGATAGGAAGGGTTGCCTCTTTTTCTATTTTAAATAGTTTATGATGGATTGGGGTAACTTCTTGAAATGTTGGGTAGAATTCAGCAATGAAACCATCTAGTCTGGGCTTTTCTCTATTGGAAGGCATTTAATTACTGATTCCATTTCTAGCCTGGAGATTGTCTAGATGAAAACAAAAGTGTATTCTGTGATGGAAGATGAAAGATTGTGTAGATATCAATTAGGTGCATTTGTTCTATTGTCTGACTGAGTGTTGCTAGCTGTGTTTCTCTCTCATTTATTTGTCCATTGAGGTTAATGGAGTATTAAGGTCCCCCACTATTACTGTATTGAAATCTATTTCTCTCTTTAAATCCATTAATATTTGCTTCATGTTGTTAGATGCCCTGGTGTTAGGTGTATATACATAAATCTATTACAATGATTCTTTCTTGCTGAATGGATTCTATGATCATTTTGTGGTATTTTTCATTTCTTTTAATGCTTTTCATGTCAAAGTCTGTATTTCTGATACAAGAAAGTACCATCTCATTTTTTCTTTCCAAAAGCCTGGAGTATCCTTTTCTATCTTTTCACTTTCAGTTTCTGCATATCTTTGTTGGTGAGATGTGTCTGCATTATCTTTATTGATGAACTAGGCAACAGATATCGCTAATGTTCACCTTTTGATGGTGTTCCTTAATTCTTGAATGCTGGTCTTGATTTTACTCAGTTCCTCTTCCAGCTTTTTGATTTTTCAATATTATTGCAGCAGGTGTCTTCTTCTTTTGTGTCATTTATTCCATTATTGAGGCTTGCCATTGATTTTTTAATATCCTAATTTCTGTTTTCATTTCTAATAATTCAGCTTCCATTTTTCTTCACTGTTGCTCTTTTCCTTTGTAAGGTGTTTCTTAAATTCCTTGAATTCCTGTCTGTGCTTCTCATTGCTGTTAAGGACCTTTATAATGATTTTTTAAAAAATATTTATTTGACAGCCTCTTGATGTCTTCCTCAGTTAACTCTGAGATTGACATAGTTTTTTGTTTCTTTGCAGGGGAAGTGTCAGTCATCTCTATCTTTATGTCTGTGCTTCTTCTTTTGTCCTTGGCCATTGCAATTCAGGTTAGCAGATTCTTATCTTTGAGGCTGATTTTTAAGCTGTGTCATTTACAATTTTACAGATCAACTTTACTGATCCTATTCAGTGCCTGTTCAGTCCCATTTGTCGTCACTTACACCACTCCCTCCAGCAACTTTCAGTCCCATACAATGCTTCTGCCATGGTCTCCAAAGCCATGGCTCCCAGGTGTGGCTGTACCACTGTCTGTTTAGCCTTTCTCCCATTCCAGGATCCAGCAGTACCTGGGATTAGGGAGACACCAGCTGTGACTTTAAACTAGATCATGGGTATTGCGGCAAAACATGGTCCACCCACATTCACTCTGGCTTATGCATGTACCAGTAAGAACAGTCAGATCAGCCTGACTTTCCCCTGATCCAGCATACATGCAGGCCAACAGGTGTTGTAGCCCTGCCCTGCCTGGTTTGTCCCCAATCCCAGCTTTCACACTCACCAGTGGGAGTGGTGGTCCAGCAGCGAGGGGCCCTGCAGCCCCTCCTACTGGGTTCATTCCCACCTCTCTTTGGTTCTATTGTGTGCTAGCTGCACACTGTGGCCCAGTCTGGCATGGCCTGCCTCACCTCAGCATTTGCCAGTGGGTGCTGTAGCCTGGCTTGGCCCAGCCCACTCCAGTTCCAGCTTACCCTGGTTGGAGTTACAGCCCAGTCCAGCCCAGCCAGGCTTTAGTTCTGGCCCTAATGTGGACTGGCTTGTGTTGCCACTCCAGCTGGCATGACCCACACACCATTCTGGTTCTCAAATTTGCCAGCGATTGATATGACCTGGCCCAGTCTGACTTGCTTCAGACCTGAGCCAAATGTATGCCATTGGGTATCATAACCTAGCCTGGTTAGGGCTGCTCTCTGTCTTAGTTCTTATGTTCACCTGCAGGGACTGTGTTCTGACAGAGGAATTCCCCAAGCTCCTCTCTGAAAGCCTCTCTTCATGCCAGATCTTGCACATACCCATGAGTCCATGGGCCAACCCTACTCAGTACACCTCCTGTCCTATCAGGAACAGTAGCTTTTTCTGACTGGCTGTCACCCATTCCAGTTCTTGTTGTTGGGTGCTACAGCCTAGCCAAGTCTGATCCACACCCAGGCACAGCTCATGCGTGGCTCTGCCGGGGCAGAGACCTAGCCTAGTCCATTATACACCCATCCTGGTTCTTACAAGCTCCACTGGGTTCTAGAGTTCAGCCCAGTCTTGTGTGCTCCAGACCCAGTCCACACTTGTGTCGACCGGCACTGCAATCGTGTTCATGCCTTATCACTGGCTCCACTCTGGCCCTCACGCTCACCAGTGGGAACCCAACCTGGTTGGGGCTTCCTCTTATCTCCCCAAACAGGCCTATTCCCAGCTGTAGATCTTGTGCATGCCAGTGATTGCTCTGACCCAGCTTGGCTTAGCCCCTCACCTGGTCTTGGCCTTTGCCTTTGGATGCTGCAGCCTGGCTTGACCTGGCTGGCCCAACTCTCGCTGGTGGGTTCTGCAACCTGGCCCTGCTCAGTCTGCTCCCATCCCTGGCTCATGCATACCAGTAAGTGTGATAACCTAGCCTGGCATGACCTGCACTCCAGCCTGTTTTCTGCACTTGCCAGTGTGCTAAAGTTTGCTTGGCCCTGCCTAGTCTGCCCCCTTCCAAAACCAACCCAAACATTTGCCAACAGATGGAAACAGGTGGAATTACCTTGCCCAGCCTGAGCAACACCCAAGCCTGAACCACGTGCCAGTGAGAGCTCAGACCCACTAAAGAAGTTTCCCCAATTCCCCCACTTGACACACTCCCAGAACCACATGTCATGCATGCTAGCAGGTGCTTGGCCCTTGCCTGGCATACTCTGCCCTCTCTGTCACAATCTTTGTATGAGCTAGTGGGTGTTGTGGCTCGTTCCACACCACACTCTGTTTTAGGGTGCCCATGTGAATGCTACAGCCTGGACCTGCCCAGCCTGTTCCCAACCTGAGTACCCATGACTGTCGGCAGGTTACGTGGTTAGACCTAGCTCAGCCCATCACTACCCCAACTATTAAGTTAACCAGCAGGACTTGTAATCCACATGATTAGACCCACATATCTCCCACAGAATCTATCCCTGGACCTGATTCTCTTATGTGCTGCTTAGTGTCATGGCCCAGCTAACGTGACCCCGTCACTTGTTCCAATAGTCACTGTCATGTACTGGGATCTAGCCCTGCCAGACAGGCCCCCAACCCTAGTTTTCAAATAGGCTGGAGTGTGGTGGTCAGCAATGTTCCATGCTAACAAGCCCAGCTCAGGTCTCCTCTGTGGACTGCCTAGTTTGCCCCCTTCCAAAACCAACCCATACACTTGCCAACAGATGGAAACAGGTGGAATTACCTTGCCCAGCCTAAGCAAGGTACATTGGTCTGACCCATAAAGGTATTCCTGACCCATAAAGGTATTCCTGTCTCTCCCTTCCAAACCATCAGGTTGCTTATGTACAAGTAAACGTGCAAGTACAGTGGCCTTGTCATTGGGAGTCCCTCAGAAATCATTCCTCACTTACAAGATACTCCCACAACAGTCCTTTCTACCCCATATTCCTTCCCTCCTCTCCCTAAATAGTCCATAACCTTTGTGGCTTAGAATGTATGGGTTCTCTAGCTCAGCCATCAGAAGCACAGTGGGTGGTATGCTGATCTACAGCTATGGCCTCCCACCAGAGTCCCAAGCTCCTGGCACATGTGCTGACCTGGTGCTTTACCCCTCTATACATCCAAGGTCCAGGCCTATTGAGGTCCTCCTGACCTGATCCACCAGTGCACCAGGGCAGCATGCTGATCTGGGTTCTCCCTTCACCTTGCCCAGGACCAAACACATGGGGAAATCCTCAGGTTCACTCCACCTGCCTAGAGGTGGCTCCTAGGTACCCACATGCTCTGCTGGTTCCAGCCCTCCCCTGTCCCAAGCCCCCATTCTCAGCCCCAATGGCTGCATGGCAATCTCTGGCCAGCTTGCTGGTGTGGGAGAACTGTGATGAGTTGCTCCCTCC